CATCTTTTTATCATTGTTTGAAAGTGCAAGAAGGATTATTACATTCAAGAATCATGAATTCATCATTTGGGTCTTCATCATGTTCCTCGTCTCGAGTGATGTCTTTTCTTATTCTTCTGTGTAAAATAGTTGGAAAAATGAATCTCGCTCGAAGAGAGGGCTTTAATATAAGGCTTGGTTACTTAATAATCAATTTGAGTTGAATTGAACAAATTTATTTTGAGTTATTTATTTATTGAAATAAAATCAAGTGATTCCAAGTCATGCATTTTTTAAATAATTGTTATACAATGAAAAATGATTTTTTGAACAATGAATGGTTTAAAAAGAAGAAAAAATTATGATCTGCCATTTTTATTTTATTAAAAGAATATATGACAAAAAATGAATTTGAGAAAAAATAATTTTCAAATTAGTTGTACCACACAAACTTTAAAAATGATTGTCTAACCTTTCATACTTGGCCAATATCCTTGAGAGTAGGCTCAACCGGCAAATTATAGCGATCGAAATCTTTAAACACGTCAAACATGCCCACAAAAGAGTGTTCAAGTTGAATTCTATCAATTAAAGAGTATTGATTAACTGGCTCTGATTTTCAATCCCATTAGATTTTTCGAGAGCATCGTAAAATTCTTCAAATAGAGGCTTAAAAATCTCGTCCATACAAAATCCAAATTCAGGATGGATAAAGATACTTGGCCAGACCCCCCACAAATAGACATGGCGCCCCTGGATGGCCAGGGGCACATCCAGAACTCGACTCAGGATAGTCTTACGGAAACAGTAGATCTGGACTTGTACAAGACTGCATCCAATAAGTTTACACAAGCACGAATATTGATGTATCTGAATGTAAGTACACAAAAGAGAGTTCCAATTGTTTCTACTATGTACAACAATTGCCTCTGCAACTATGTATATTTACTGTCTTCCTGATTCTACAATATATTCAGTTACAAACAACCAGCCTTTGCTGCGTACACTGAAACTAACAATGTAACTCCATGTTATACAGCAGTCTCATAAGCTCCTCGAATTTTTACCTTCTAGTTTAAGTTGTTGAATTCTCTGGCGCAGTCTTCGTCTGTGATCATGAATTTTCCAAAGGCCGTGGCCCAAGATGACACCCGAGTATATACCGTGTGTTATTATAGGTGCAAGAATATTATTCGTCTGACAAGCATGGAAAAATAATGTAAGACATATTTCCTTAAATACGATCTAAACAAATTTCATCAACTTGAAGTACCTGGATCCATTCAAATCCAAGATAAAGAGCCAAAAATGCTTCAAGTAGGGGAGAGTATATCTTCTTCATTTGCCGCCTCTCGTGCCAGGCTGCAAATATTCATTGCGAATTAACAATTTCTGCATGGCGAGTATAAATGCACCACTGCCACACGAAACATGAGATATCCCAATAATGGAAACTAGGTTACTAGAATATCATAAATATGGAACCTGCGAATAGCTTTTTCAGTTCTTCACGACCAGAATGCGACTTTAGTATTGGCGCAACTATGTAGGTGGGGTCTGAATACAAAAATGAGAAAGTTTAAGGTTCAGATAGTATCGAAATATAGAGAAGCACGTGAAACACTTCCTGAACTAATTAAACCAACCTTTCGGAGAGGCAGCCATATAGTAAAGTGAACCTGTAAGAGCAGCAGTAATGACAGCAGCAAATGCCTGCGCAAATGGTACAAACGGAGGAAGCACACCAGCCTATATTGAAAGAAACTGGTTAGAAAAAAGAGAATTGTCTTTTTGCATTTAGATGAAGGATCAAATAGCCAAAAATAGATTTATGACTTCAAGGAACAAGTTTAGTAATTTTACCAGAGATGTCATTCCTCGAGCATCTCCAACCAAATCACCGCTCCTCAAAAATAAATCAGCCAAGGCTCCCTGCAAACATAGACAACAAGAAGCTGAGTCTTCTCGCCAATATAGTGGGATCCATTAAGTGAATCTTTTTTCACCATTTCCTTCATTACATGTATAGGAAGATATAATGTAATCAAATCCTTAGCAATCACGTACGCAGTGTTAATTTGAGGGAAAAATGTTTTATGGCATATGGTACTGTTTTCACCATTTTGTTCCATGCCTTAGTACATTTATAGCATGGACAACAAGATGCAATGCAATTGAATCATTTGCAATCACGTCATGCCTCGTTAATGTGAAGGAAAAATAACATTGCTATTAGAAGACAAGACTTTCTCATGATATTTGGTAAGCTGATATGACAACCATGCTGTGCTAAATTTATTTAGAACACGATTATAAGCTAATCGTAAATCCATAAACTACGATGTTTATCAAGTTGAATTATAACAGTTTGCTATTAGTTGGTTGATTATACTAGAGTTGAAAAAAGATCAGGTCACCTGCAGAACTGACCTGAACAGCAGCACGGTAGAAAAGCTCCTCTCCAACAGAGCTTGCAGCTACGATGAGTATAAACTGAAACGTCACATTAAAATATGTCAATCTAACACTATAACATAATCGAGGACACATACACAAAAACCGAGATCAATATTACAGTGTACCAAATCCAGACATCCTTTACCTGCCATGGTGACATTCCATAGAAGAAGCTCCATAACTCCTCGTCCTCTACATCTCTGATTGCACGAGCATGAGGAGAAAATTTTACAACTTCATCCTGTAAGTTTGATATTTTGCTTTAGAGATTTAGAATTGTGTCTGAGTATGCATTCCCAACTAAAATTCATAACTGAAGCTGTAGGGACTTCAAGACTGAGAAAGTAATTTTGACCAAGAAAGTAACTTATTTTGCCAAACATAATTTTCAAAGTTACTTTTTTTGCTCAAAAAAACTTGCCTTTTTATAGAACCATAGGAAGAATACACAATTGAGGGGTAACATACATCTAGTATAAATAGAAGGGCCATAATCGGAGGAACTGCATATCCCAATCCCTCCACAATGGCATCTAATGACATATCAAAACCTCCCGAGGAATCAATTCCAGACATCGAGCATATAAACCTTCCTGCCAAAGCCATGGCGCCGTATATTCCTAAAGCCCAGAAGGTAAAAGAAAATTATATTAGAAAGTGTCATTTTCCTTAATTTAAAGAACTCTTCCAGTAAACTTTTTCCAAACAATTCAACACAAAACTCGACTTTCTGGCCATAGATGGAAAAAAATAAATAAAATTTCTAAGTAGGCCATTGAATCATGCACATGAATCAATCAAAAGGTGAGTAGAAAGCCATTTTGGAGTGAAAAGTTTCAAAAAATTAACTTTTCTAAAAGTATGTTAAAAGTTTTTTTCCCAAAAAAGGAGTACCTTAAAAGCAACTTTTAACCACAGCCAATTGACAATGGAGAATAAAAATTCCATCTTGTTCATACTGTAACTTCAATTATTAACTTCATAATTGATTATACAGAAATAAAATCCCACTTCAATTTTATTATTTATTCATTCATTTAATAACAAAAATAGCTAAATATTCTATAATTTCAAGATACAAACCGTATTTAGCAGCAAATAAACATAAAGATGCGTAAAATTACAATAAATGAAAAAAAAGAAAGTAAAAGACTTACCAACTCCATAACTTAGTCTAACAACAGCTCCAATCTTTTCCCAGACTGAAAACTCAGCATCATTAAAGCTGTCGTTAAATGTCGTAACCTCCATACCCGAAGCCGCTCTGTAAACCCGACCATTTCTTTCATCTCTCTCCACTACTTTTCCACCACCACCACCACTCCTCTCCGCCCTCACCACCCCACTATCTACGAATACTCCCTTCTTCTTTTTCTTAAGTATTATTCTGGCCGGCAACTCATAATTACAAAACCAATTAACTGGGGGATTCGGAGCCCGCGACAATAACGGGAACTCCATTTATCGGGTACGGACCAGACCCAGAAAAAATCTGAACCGAGTAAAACGTAAAACTGAGCCTTCTCTTCTTCCCCCTTCTTCTTCGGAGTTGTTGAGGTTGGTCTGGAGCATAGCGCAATTTGCCAAAATGTATAATTTTTTAAGATTGAAGGGTGTAACGGGTTACCACGATCCTTTGGTTTATCAATTTTGTAGTCCAGTGGGGCCTGAAAAACTCAACGTGGTCCATGATGGGTGAGAAAGCGTGCACTGATTTTTTTAAGGAATACTGAGTGACCAACGGTAAGTGCCACGTAATGATAATGCTGCACCTAGGATTACGTAGGGTGGATAATTATTGGTGGGTCAACTCTCCTGAAATGAAGTCGGAAGTTCATGTCTGAATATAAATTGGTAATTATCACAAAACGTCGTTACCTTTTAATGTTGTGTGTAAAACGTTCTCGCTTTTCGTTTTTAGGCACTTTTACCAATATCTTCACCTTATTACGAAAATTATCATTTTAATTAAATTTTTCGTGTAAAATGACAAATATATCCCCTATTTAAATAAAACAATAAAAAAGAAAACAAAAATTAAAGAATAAATTGCAATCATGCTCCCAAACATTTTTAAAAAATGCAAATGAGTTCGAATAAATTATTAGAAGGGTAATTAGCATAAAACGACCCTACCTCTTTTTATTATTATGCAAAACGTTCATACCTTTTATTTTTTGACATTTTCACTCTTATTTTTTTATATTTCAAAAATCGTTATTTTCATCTATTTTCTCAATTAAAAGTCGTAAAATGATAAATATACCCTAATTTTTAAATAAACAAAAATAAAGAAGAGACCCTCCTCTTTAAATAAACAAAAATAAAGAACAAATTGCAACTATACTCCCAAAATTTTTAAAAAAAAAGTACAAATAAATAATTTAAAAATAAAATTACTTTCTTTTTTAATTATGATTTTTCTTTTTTAATTATTTATTTGAAATTTATTTGTACTTTTTTTGAAAATTTTGGAAAAATAATTGCAATTTGTTCTTTATTTTTTTTGTTTATTTAAAGAGAAGTATATATTTGTTATTTTACAGTTTTTAATTGAGAAAATAGATGAAAATAACGATTTTTGCAACGAAATATAAACTAAGGATGAAAAATGTCAAAAAACGAAAGGCATGGACATTTTGCAAAATAATAATGAAAGGTAAGGACGTTTTGTGTTAATTACCCTTTAATAATTTATTTGGATATTTTTTAAAAAGTTTGGAACTATCATTGCAATTTATTCTTTAGCTTTTCTTTTCTTTTTTATTGTTTTATTTAAATATGGAATATATTTGTCATTTTACACGAGAAATTTGATGAAAATGATGATTTTCGCAATAAATGTGAAAATAAGGGTAAAAGTGTAAAAAAATTGAAAGGTAGGGACGTTTCGCACAATATTTCAATAAAGACCTTTTGTACTAATTACCCAAATATAAATTGCATAGTTTAAAAATTTGTAATCTGCCAAAAAATAAAAAATAAAAAATAAAAAAATTAACACAGTCTACAATTTATTATAGGAGAGAAGTGTAAAATTACAATTTTATCCTTTTTATATTTGGATAAAATCTATTTTCCTGGTCAACTAAGGGTTTTATCGATTTGGACCTCAAGAGAGAATTTTTGAAAGATTTGAGACCTCTGTTGACAAAAAATGAAGGTTAAGATAAAGTCTGCTAAAAATTCAAAGGTTAGGGAGCACTATTACAATTTTTCATTTATTATTATTATTATTTTAATGAGTTCTATATTAAAGACTTGTTCGATAGTGATTTTGAGAATTGATTTTTTTGGCTGTTAGAGAGAAGAATGAGTCTCATCTGTGAGTAAAGAAGTAAAAGATAACGATCGAAATAATGAAATAATGGTAAAAAAATTGATTTTTTCAGGTAAAAAATTGCTACAAAACAGGAGCTAAGTATTGAAACACTATTCAAAAGTCAAGTTTATTAATATTTTATAACTTATTTTATCTATAATTGATATAGATTCATCCTTTAACGAGCATGGGTTAATAAAGTCAATTTCTAATTAACAAAACTTATTATAAATGAATATTAAAGTTGAAAATCAAACTACAAAGAGTGTACAAGAATATGAAGGGAAAAAATAAAATAAAGAGATAACTCTATTGAACATGTGTCAAAGAATTTACAAAATAACATTTTGAGAACTTCGATGGGCTCTCTGTCTAAAAGAAGAAACAAGATAGTAGCATTGTTTTTCATAATACGTTATGTGGATGATATAATATAGCAAAGCGTCATCATCGAAAGCATGTGTTCCTATAATTCCAGATGAGAGACTTATCTGAAGCTATATTTTGAATATTCAAATCTTACTATATTTAAAAAAGACAAGCATATAGTTTCATTGTACTCTTCATGCATAGACAAGATATTTATTTGGCAAATTTGGTGTAAACCACTTCAATGGTCCACTAAATTTAATGTAAATTTTGGTGTAACACTTTACACCAAATTTGGAGTAATTCTATATTTCCCATTTTGCCCTCTCTTCCCTTTTACAACAATTTTTTGTTACATCTGTATCTGTTTTCTATCTTTAAAAATTACTAAATTTGAATTTATTTATAATTGTTTTAACGTGATGGTTATTTTTATTTAATATTTAATTTTAAATTCTAATCAAGTAATAAGTAATAATTTTTGATACAACAAATTAAATTTGTTCATTAAAAACTGAGATAATGTGTTTTTTTTTTATTTATTAACAAACACTATGCTTTAGTTCATTAAATATAATTTTTAATATAATGATTTTAGTGATAATATAATTTTTAATTTAAATAATTTAAAATAAAATTTGGTGTAAGAGCATCACTAATGATTACACCAAATTTGGTGTAAAGTAACCATTGGAGATGGTGTAATGGTGTAAGGTAACCTATGGCATGCCCTAGTTAGATATTTGTCATGCTGTTAAGATAGTAAGCAAGCAATCAAAACTAGGTACAGAGCACTACGTAGTAGTAAGCATATAATCAAGTATCTTCGAAAAATGAATTGCCATGTGCTCGTGTGCCGGCATTAGAGTTGGCCCCTATGAGTTACACTAATTCTGATTTTCAATTGGATAAGAACACTAGAAAGTCTTTGTTAGGATCCATGCTTATTCTCAGGTGGCAGAGTTGTGATTTGGATGGGTATCGAGTAACAATGTATTTCTAATTCTATGATCAAGTATGTAGCGATAGTGAAGCAGCCAAAGAGGTCGTCTGGCTTAGAATGTTTCTTGCAATTTATAGATGGTAATTGGTGTCAGCATAATAAATGGTGTTATTCTATGATAATGGTAGGGCAGTGACTAATATAAAATAACCAAGAAACCCTAAAAGAGAAAAATACATAGAATGAGAATACCATCTCCTAAGAGATATAGCCCATCGTGAGAATGTGACAGTCAGCAAGATTGTTTCAAAACAGATTCTTGTCGATTTATTTAATCTTACCAAATATTTGTTTTGAGGCTCATCTAGTGATGTCAAACGAGTTGAGCAGCTCATTGACTCGTGGACGGTTCAGGCTTGTCAAATGACGAGCTCGAACTCGAGCCGAGCAGGGGGCTCAATCCCACGAGCTCCTTGTAAAAAATGTGCAAATTTACAAAAAAAAAAATTAAAAAAATCACGAGCTTGCCAGTGGCTCGGCCGCGAGCTAGCGGCTCGTGGGTCGAGCTAAGCTTGCCCCCGAGCAACTAGCTGAGCTTAAGCTCGGCTCGTTTTTCACGAGCCCAAATCTGAGCCGAGCTTGTGGGTTAAAGGACCGAGCCGGCTTAGCTCGGCACATTGCCATCCCTAGGCTCATGTCAAAGGCATAAGAACGCGAGACATGTTATTCACACTTTAAGCCAAGTGAGAGACTGGTGGAATTGGTGCCCAATAGTGTTACGATATGACTGTAATTTATAACATTTTATTTTGTTTTACTAATATATAAATATTGATTTATTTGAGTTATTTGTTAATTCTATATTAGAGTAAGCAATGACGGGCCATTGATCGATTTATGATAATATAAATTATGTACTTGAATGGAGAAGTACGGAATCATAACTTACATTTTGATCGAGAATAAATTGACATAGAACACCCTACAGAGGTTGACACTCTATTTCGAAAGGTTAGTTACTCTACCAGTTGAGGTACTCAATTTGTCTTGACTGTGATGATTGTTCATCGAGAATAATGACGCTACTGTACCTGGATGTGTATTGCATTGGACCAAGTAAAATAATGGTTAATTTTATAGTGGGTTGTGCTAACGAAATGAATCATATGTGATTGTCTTTATAAATTACCTAAGTTCAGTTATTCGTGAACTTGGGATTTTTGATATGCCAATGAGTGATATTCACGAAATTATTTCTTTCGATTTAAAACTATAACAATTGTACAGTTCGTTAACAAGTAATAAAGTAGATTAAATGAATTCGAATATTGTCCCACAGAGATTGATTAGTTCAATTTTACCTATCGTCGCCTTAACCGAAACTAAATTACTAAAGTGAATGTGAACCTAATTAAAACCCTAATTTTGGAAAGAAACCCCTAATTATGCAATTTTTATGATTGAATTAAATTAAATATGCAAAACAATATTTTTAACACTCTAAAATGAAATCAAATATTGAGAACGCATGTTTGTTGTAATCAATAGAAATTAAACACACTAGGATCACGATTTCCCATGCAATTATCACTTTAAAACCCTAGTTTCACAATGTGACAACACACTTCAATTGTGACGAATCAATGTTTCTATATCTATCCAATACTCTCTTTCGAGATGTATCGAACCTATTTCTACATACCTCCGGCCTATATTTCTATGACAAGTGCATATGTAAAAATGCATGCGATTTTATGAACATTTAAAGATTCACATAGGACATAGCGATATATTTCTATCCCCTATCGGACTCTACGATGATTTATATTATGTCGAACCTATTCCAATTCTCTCGAATACAAGAATAAACCACCCAAACTCACACAATTACGGGCCTTTAATTGCGGAAATAATAATTGCATATAAATCATTCAAAACAATATAAATATGTCTTAATGTCAAATTGTAAAATTAGAAAATTAAAGATCAAATTAC